TTGGTAGAGCTTATATCTTTAAATTGAGACACCTAAATTTTACAATGATCTGATTTCATTATGATCTGCAACAATTATTACTAGAATGCTACGTACCACAAGGATAATAATTTTTATTGCACACATTTTTGCAATTGCATTTAAAATCATCAACTTGTAATGATTGTATAATAGATGCTTTGCGAATGCTTATAAGCATCGAAAGAATACTAAGGTTTGTTGGTATTTCAAGATCACATATAGCGAATGTATCTTTTGCCCAATAGCAATTTCCGATTATTGTATTTATCAGATCTTGTAAAACTTTAATACAGAAATCCAAGTCTTCACATGTCATAAAGATTTTACGTCGTATATTGGCCAATTGGCTGCTAAGATAATTGAAAAGCAATTCATCAAATGCATTATGATATAAAAAGATTAAACTTGAGATTATCAGATAGAAAGAGTCGTAAAAAAAAGAATCGTAAGATTTGTGTTTAAATATTTTTTCCAATTTGTTATAACGATAAGATATAATATACTTTAAATTACATATTTATTTTAGTATTAGAATCAACTTAAATTACTTCTAGATCTCGTATCAGCTAGGATTATGACCTACTTCAATAGTAAAATTCAAATTTTCTCCTAATTTAATAACTATCATAGTATTTTAAAAATCTATGTCGGCATAAATTTAATCTTTACTATGATATCGAATAATTTTTTTTTTTATCAATCAACAATTTGAGCCAATCGATAATTACTTCTACCTATTCTAAATATACAAATAACACCATCAATTAAATCATTTTCTTGCAATTGATATTGTGGATCACCAATCCGTTTACTATTCAAATATAACCCTCCAGATTTAATCAACTTGTTAGTGACTTGCATGCACCAGTAACAACAGCTACGCGATCAATTGAACCATTTAGAATATCATTACGATTACAGTAGTTAAACATCGCAAATCATTTGCAAACGCATCAATTGTCTCGACTAGGAATGTCTTTAATTGGGTGTATCAAATAAAACACTAGTAGCAAATTGTGCTCTTCGGAGTCCTGGTACTTAATAATGGGGAGATAAACAGTTTTGAATATTTAAAAATAAATTTGATAATAAAGTATTTAATAATAATAATCCCTACATCCGTGTACAAGTTCCGTAATTTCAGATGCCAACCTTTCTTGTGCATAATGTTTTTCTGGTGATTTCTATAATTAAAATCCATTAAAAGTCTATTGTAGATATCAAATTACTTCATAAACTTCATACCATATGCGTATTTACGATATGGGTTATTTCCTCAGTGCTTAACAATGTAAACATTCGAAGATATTTTCTATATCTGCATCAGCAGCTTTCATAAAATACTATAGATAAATTAAAAATATGCATAATAATCAAATAATAAGATAATCAAAACTTTACTTGATAAAATTTCTAAACATTAGTCATATTTTCATTCAACCAAATCGCATTTCCTGTTGATTTGCCAAACTTTTCACCTGTTGAAGTCAACAATAAAGGAATAATGATTCCAAATGCATCGTCTAATTTATCTTTAACATTAGTCACGTCGTGAATTTTTTTCTTATTGATCAAATTAATGCCTGCTGTGATGTTTCCCCATTGATCACTACCTCCTAACTTTGAATGAAAAGAATTCAATAAGCATGAAGAAAGCTTTAATAAAGAAACTTATTAAATTTATATCACCTGAATCCGACAATGATGATGATTATACAAATACCAAACATCATAAGCTTGAAGTAATTGATAAGAAAATTCTGTAAAACTTATTCCACCTTCATTCTCCATCCTTAAATTTAACACTTTCAAAGTTGAAGATTTGGATTGAAAGTTCTTTAAATAAATAAATAAATTTGAAAAAAAATAAGGACAAGAACATGTCCAATTTTGATAATCAGTTAAATACTACTGCACATTTTTAATACTCGATTCACCGTACTGAATAGAGATAAGTCGCTTACTGCGCCCCAACGGACATAATAACTCGTGACCGCTCATCGAATAAACCTAAATTAATCATATTGTAGCACAAACCTCGGTTATCACTATGTTTTTATTTTATCCCATGCTTGTCAAGTACACCAGGGCGACCGCGCTTCTCAAAGTTTTCTGCCCCCACAGACCAAGCTACATACATGGCCGTCGCTTATACATGGCGGTTGTGTATCGCAGGCTCGCCACATCCATGCCTACTCAGATACCAAGGATGCCCTAAAAATTGGAGTAAGAAACGTAAAAGAGAATATAAAAGAGGGCGTAAAAACGGATTTGGTATTGTACCTTTTTGTCCTTGTGATCAATATGTTCTTTTTTGGCCTGCAGTGTGTTCTGACTTATAACCTGGCAACGTTAGTCCTCTTGGAAGATTGTAAAGTGGATCGGCACTGGGATTGTTACCAGCGCTGGCTTAGTATTATTCGATCTCAGCTTCGCCAACTGGTACAACCGCCGGAGTGAGAGGATTGTTATTCATGCCTTTGAACATGGTTCCTGTCCAGAACTTGATGTTATGCAGAAACAGCTGATTTACCGTGAGGGTGTTATCAAGAAACTGAGACGAGTTCTAGAGCCGATCTCTGACCATAGCTCTTACCACGTCGTTGTCGGGAACCACGGAACTGGTAAGACCACAGTGGTCCGGCAGTGTGCTAGGGATGTTGGAAAAGGGGTCATTTATGTTGATGTCCCCCCTATATTGGATAACTTCATTGATAATCTTGCAAATGCTATTGGATATTCATTCGAGGAGTATGTGTCCTTTACTGACTTATTTAAGCGGAAGATTCTAGGCAAAAGCGAGTCCGGTAAGGTTATTATAAAGAATTAGTACTGGTGTTTGCTCTACACTCACTTGTTTTATAGCTGGACGGCCCAGGTTTTATCGTGTCCAGGTTGCTTTCGAGAGAGGAGCTAGAAAATACAAGGCAAATAATGGCAAACCTCCAGTGTTGATCCTCAACAACATAAGTCAGCTGAGCCAGAAAAATGTTAACCTGTTGGAGGATCTGCAGGACTTCGCAAAACTTCATGCTGACCAGAGCAGTTGCATTATTGTATTTGTCAGTAGCGAGGGAACAGCGCCACGTGTGATGATGCGTGAGTATTGTATGATATAATTTGTCTGTATCTCGTTTCTGGCTGATGTTTCTTTGCTCTACTCTAGAACGATCATCATGGTCACGCGCTGAAAAAAACCTCATTGTTATCGAAGACCTAACTAGCGAAGAAGCATTCACTTACCTCCACAGCAAACTTGGCATTGAGAAAAAGGTCACCAATCAACTCATCCAACTCTTAGGTAGCCGGATTCGTGATCTTAAGGAATATGATAATATGGTAAATAGAGGCGTGACATTCGAAGGTGAGAGTGCATTTACTATCTGGACAATGATGATGGTATTTTGCATGAACTTTGTGTGAACATTCTCATCATACTTAATATTTTTTGCTTTTAGATGTTTGTAAAATTGTGCTTGGTGCCGTCAGTCACAACTTTCACCAGGCTGAAATGATGGAGGGCGAAAGAAACCATGTTATTGGCAAGGTCATCGTCCAAGAGTTGGTGAAAAATGAAAAAATCCATTATGATACATTCATCAAGCTCGTCAACAACAAACAAATAGCCAATGAACTGCTACAGGCCAATGTTTTCTCATATAACCCGGAAAGCAGAGCTGTCACCTTCCAGTCTCGTGCAACTAAAGCTTTTGTGAGAGAAAGTCCAGAATTTTCGTTATAAATAAAGAATGGGGTCGCCGGCCTCGCCATTTTTTACTTACAATATAATTTGCGATTATTAATTAGTAGAAACTATTAAGTTAATCTATGTTCTTACAGTTAATAGTGGGATTCCAGTATCGCATGTTAATATGCGCTAATTAAATAATCGGAATTTTTTATGTTTTTTTCATGCTACTTAAATCATAGTAATAACCTGGTTCATCTTCATTAGAAAAACCGCAATATTCATCATTATTCTTATCGAATACATTTACAGTTTCTGGTGAAGATTTGACATCCTTACTTATCTCAACTTCCGAGGTAGGGATTGGATTGGATCCGTTTAACTGTTTAAAAATTGCTCCATAGTTCCGGGTGGAATTATGTTGGTCATGAGCTGGGATCATTTTAATGCCGGCCAAATTAAAGGATTAAACGATTAAGAAAAATTTTAGGTAGGGATGCGAGTTTACACTATACCGTATTATACGATTAGTATAATACCAGTATTATATACAGAGATATAGGTATCCCTTACACCAAATTGCCTGCGAATTTTTTGTACAATATTGAGAGTTTAAATTCTGACGTTGGCTTATATTTAATAATTTATTATATAGCAATCAATTTATGTTAAATATTAGTGATAATACATAGCAATAAATTAAATATTTCTTAAGCGATAAATAATTTTGCAATAAATTAGTAATTTATTATTGCGGTTTGCAAAATTATGTGAAATTTGAAGATCATTAAAAAAAAATAATCACATTACACAGATCAAAATCAAAAATATCATTATCATATCATCTAATATTGCCTATGGTGATAGCAGGCCAATAGGCTGTTGGCTATAAACCGATTGATTAGATATAAAAAAGCTGATAGGCTGAAGATTTTAGTAAAATATGTTACATATCGGTTTAATGCCAGATA